TTGCCCAGGTGATGGCCCAGGATGTGCGGAGAGAGACGCCACTGCAGTTCAAACTCAGGGTCAAGTTTTTCCCAGAGGACGTGTTCGAGGAGCTGATCCAGGACGTCACACGGCGCCTCTTCTTCTTACAGGTGAAAGAGGACCTTCTGTCAGAGGATATTTACTGTCCCCCAGAGACTGCCGTGCTCCTCGCCTCATACGCCGTTCAGGCCAAGTTTGGAGAGTACGATAAGTCCGCACACCAGACGGGGTACCTGGCCAACGAGCGCTTGCTGCCAAAGAGGTGAGGGGTCCCATTGCTGCTATGTATTGTGTGTTGGTATGTCTATGAACTGTCCCATCTCATGTCAAAGTTGGGTTAGTATAGTACAATACAGCCAACAGTAACAATAGTCAAATTAATGAAGAATATTTTTCTGTATTAATTTGACTATTGTTGTATTATGGAAGCCTTGCCCTATCCCTAATTAAAGCAACACCGCGTAACATTTTGGTAGCAGCATGTCACCTGCATGAGTCCATGGAAGTAAACAGTTTAAACCAGACTTCTGAATATTCTCCACTGAGAATTGTGCCATTTGCCAGAAGAATGTATCCAAAGCAATTAAGGCCAAGTTTGAGTCAGGTTTGTGGAGATGCAAGCACACTCACAGGATGCATATTTTTTCAATGAGTTTTAGTGGAATAATTATCCATAATAAAATATATATGCTTTTATATTAGTATATTTTTTGGTACAGTAGGTCTTTAAATAGAGTCCCAGCCCTCACAATTTTCTGAATGTGTCTCTCCACTCTTCACATCCATTTCCTGTATTATAAAACCTATGGGTCAAGACATATTCAAACATTTTAAAAGATCTGAAACTGATATAGAGTTTGGTAATCACAATCAGAATTACTTCATTAATTCCATTAATTTTGTTACAGGAGAAATAGTTTTCAAATTTAAAATTTGAAAATTAATATTAAAATTCATACATCTGTCTTTATTATCAACTGAACCCTAATTGAAGATAGTACTGTCAAAACATATTTAAATTATCTAGGAAAAGTTGAACCCAGAAGAATATCTAAAAATAAATAATATTTTAAATGGGTTATTGTACATATTAAGGGTACCTGGAGGCTATAAGGCTTGTAAGATCAGAGACACAAGACTCTGAGGTACTGTATACATAGTGATACTCTGTGCAGAACAGGTGCTTTAGGCTCTCACTGGGCAAACAGAAAGTCTGAAGTAAGTGTCTGAAGAATGAGAGAGCCTCGGGATATTGGCAGTTTTAGTTTAAGGAGCCTAACATGGATCAATATTTAACCAGAGATCAGGGTGAGTCACTTTTACGAGAAGTCAGATGCCTTTCCTCTGGGTCACATCCTGTTAGTTTGGTAAAATGTTGCAGAAACATGAGTAAGAAGTAAATAATAAACTGCTCTAATTTCACATTTTATTGAGTGATTCCATAGATCTGACTCAGGACTCAGACAATCAAAAATCCTGAAGGGCTCATATTATTATTAGGAAGTTTTTAAACTCTATACACCTTCATGAGAATAATTTGGATAATATAATCCTGGAATTGCCAGTCTCTACTGAAATAATAGTGAAAGGTGGCTGTTGTAGAATTCTAGAGAGATCCTAAAAGAGTTATTCAAACATGTGTGAATGAAACAAAACACAACTCCAGGTATGTTTTTGAGGAGGTAACAACATTCTAACATGTCTCCATGAAGATGTGATTTTGCTTGCATTGTTCCACAGTATGACATAAACTTTATCTATCTCCATGGAGACAAGCAGGTGACATTCATTCATTCAAGCGACCATACTCCAGTACATGTTTTTTCAAGATATTTTTTGAGCAATAACAACACCTGCAAATGACTAAACATTTAATGCCCTGCTGTGGAACATTGCTTTGCTTTACTAGAGCTATTTTAACTTTTTTCTTTACTACGCAATTCCATGTATCTTACTTAATATATGTGATGTCCTCTATATATGTAAAATGTATAAAGCAGTAAAAACATTGAATGAGATGGTGTGTCCAAACACTTGTTCGTTTAGTGTATGTTTTTGGTTACGTGAAACTACTCTATTTTAAAGTTGAATCTAATCTAGTTTTTTGTTTTTGATTTCTTTGCACAGAGTTCTGGACCAACACAAGCTGTCCAAAGAGCAGTGGGAGGAGAGGATCCAAGCTTGGCACCAGGAGCACCGCCACATGCTCAAGTGGGTTCAGCCAATACAAAGATTCAACTGCACTTTTTACATCAAATAGGGAAAGCACTGTGGCGAGACCAGCAATGCTGTACAGATTAGAGGAGCAAAGTTGGAAATGGCAGACTTTGAAGATAACATGGTTCTTTCTTTGTTCATGTTGAAAGTAGATTAGGGAGGCGGGTTTTCAATGTTATTTCAAGGTTTGGCATTAAAATTGTTAGGGTTGAGTAGTTTTGACTAGATTAATTTATATTGTTTCCTTATATGACTTGGTGCTAGATTTTCCTCAATTGTTTGATGACATTTCTGTTTTAAGATGGTATTGCCTGAAGAAAAGAAATCTGACAAAATTATCTTAATTATTTTCTACCCCACTGACAGATAATTATGCTTGAAGTGAAAAGCATATTGAAACTTATCAAGTAATTTTAGCCATTTAAGATGATCAGAAGTATGTGAACCAGGATCGGTATTGTGAATTATTGTAATTATAACTAATCTAGAATATTTTGGAGTGTATAGAGATGGTGAAAATGAGCAGTAAGGTGATGTGATTTGAAAATAAGAAGTCAAAGAGTTGTTTTTTTTAAGTTTTTTTTTATGTTTATGTGAGTCGATAGGATACTCAAGATAGATGAGGAAATACAGTTTAAAGCAGTGACTAACCTTGCAAACTACTTCTATATATGAGAGGAACAGAGATAGATATAAATAGATCAAGTGTTGAGGCTGTAACCATAATATGTTCCTTTCTTATCAAATGCTAAAATGTAAACTTATAAAATTTTTCTAAAACTTTGTGAACAGGGAGGAGGCTATGATTGAGTACCTGAAGATCGCTCAGGATCTGGAGATGTACGGAGTGAATTATTTTGAGATCAAGAACAAGAAGAGCACCGACTTGTGGCTGGGAGTGGATGCTTTGGGACTCAACATTTACGAGAAGGATGACAGGTACAGAGATGTATTACTAAACAGTGTTCATAGACGTTAGATACACAAAACATAATGGGGTTGTGATTTTATGCAATGACCGACTGTGGTTGCCTAATCCAAGTATCCAGGTAAATTATGCTCTCAAACAAATTATTATTTTTCATTGACCATTAGCATACCTGGGCCATAGTTTGTATTGATCCAAGTTTGCACAAGGCATAGTTAAGAAACAGTTCATTGTATTGCTTAAAGGTGCATTGTCACAGTATGGTGTTTAACATTTCTATTTTCATGGAGACCAAACCAGACCAAGTTACAGGTCAGATCTGTGGAGAGGCATCCCCACTCAGAGTCAGAATGCCTGTTTTTCTAGGTATGTTGGAGCAATAAAACAACCTGTAATGGAATACATTTATGGAAGAGCTGTTTAATGTCATACTGTGCAACATTCCAGGCAGAGAAATTACATATCCAGAGAAACAAGCATAAAAGTCCAACCAAAAAAGTAACAAGGTGCACCTTTAACTTATGATAACTATATTTTCTGATATTGAACTCAGTGACCGAGTTACAAATTCACAAAAGTGCCTTAAATATGCACTTTTCTATACCTGTCTGAACCCTAGTAGTTTATTGACATGTTGACACACTAGTACACAGAAAGGTCAATATGACAGTTACACAGCAATCAATGAACTTGGTAGTACATATGACCACACGGCTGAGGTTAGTGCAAACAATGTTGTGGGTTTTGTTTAACTTTGATGAAAAAAATAGATAAATTTCAATGGAGTCCTGGCTGAAATGGGCCACAGCAAGTTTTACACACACGTAACATTATACATTAATGAAGCATTTTATCGCTCTTCCTGTCTTTCTCCTCTCTTTGCCTCTCTTTGCCTCTCCCTCCCTCTCTCTCCTGTGTCGCTCTCCCTCTCATCTTTCCAGACTTACTCCAAAGATTGGATTCCCCTGGAGTGAAATAAGAAATATCTCCTTTAATGATAAGAAGTTTGTGATCAAGCCTATTGACAAGAAAGCCCCAGTAAGTTATTTGTTTCATCAAATTAAAAGTTCTTAATATGACTTTACTGGGCATTGGACCCTTTTGGAAAAGTGTGTATGATACAGAAATGTATTATTTACATTGTTTATATTATTTAATAATTTAATAATGTTACTTATTTATTTTATTATTTTATTTATTAGCAAATACAGTGGGATTGCAACTAACAGTTGTTTTTGTTGTTAACTAGTAAATGATAGTTTTTATGATTAGTTGACTAATCAAACTATTAATTTATAGAAAATTTGTATTTTTAATACATTTTTAACCTAATGAAGTTTGAAATATAATGACTGAGAGTTTCTTTTGGCATGTGCTTTAGGGTCTGTATCTTAACAACTATGAAAATATGATTTGAATATTTTTTTTATAGTCATCATCATCATTTATTATTCAAATTAATTACTGCAGCCCCACAATACAATAACTTAACACTGTAATTCTTATTTTACTTTAGATATTTTCTCATTTTCTTTGCAGGACTTTGTTTTCTATGCCCCTCGCCTGAGAGTGAACAAGCGGATCCTGCAGCTGTGTATGGGGAACCATGAGCTGTACATGCGCCGCCGCAAAACTGACACCATCGAAGTTCAGCAAATGAAGGCCCAGGCCAAAGAGGAGCGTCTGCAGAGGAAGATGGAGAGGTCAGGCTTAGGGCAGAGGGGGCAATGGGGCTGAGACAAGACAACAATATTTGTTAGTAAACTAACAAAAGTAAAGATTGAAAGCCATGAATGAAGCAAATGTTTATTCAAGATTAATTTATTGTCATTTTACAAACAAGTCACAGGTGTGGAACAACATAAAAATACTCAAATTTGTCAAAGAACAATTAAAATGAAATCAGTAAAAGACCACACAATTCTCATGCCAGGTTAAAAGTCAGTGAGTAAAAGTGTCTTAAATAAAACTTAAAAGCATCAACTGAAGGGGTGATCTTAATGTGATGGGAGGAGAACCTTCTAAAGTTTGAGGCCGACCACAGACGCATAATGCTTTGCAGACAAGCTTGATATATGCATAGGCTAATTTAACTGTCTTACAGCATCTACATATACTATACTAACTATAAACTGATTTCACAATGGCTAATTCAGGACTACACCAGAAGAAAACCAATCTTAAACCAAGGCTAAATCAAGACTGCATTTCTATACCAAAACCAGAGCTAACTGAGCCTAAACCATGACTAAACCAAAGCTGAACTAACTTGTGTTTTCTGTTGCAGAGATCAGTTGGAGAGTGAGAAGAAGAGAAGATCGGACATGGAGAGAGAGAAGGAGGAGATGGAGAGAGAGAAACGGGAGTTGATGATGAGACTTCAGGAGTACGAGGAGACCACCAGGCGAGCTGAGAGAGGTCTTTATTTCACAAGTTCACTTTCACTGCCATTTATGGGCATATAGCGCCCTCTGCTGTCTGTCATTGATGAAATGTTGAGCATATTTTTCCACAGTTATCGCAGTTATTGTTCCAAATATTTTTTTTAAAATATGGAATAAAAAATATATCTTGTATGATTCATTCACTGAGCTATAGAGGCTGCAATGGGTCTGATAAATGAATGGCTGCCGTTTAGGTTTTTACTCAAATGAGAGACTAATGTGAGGCTCTTTCTCCTTTCTGTTGAATAGTTGGATGATTGTCTTTGTAATGAATGAATACATCAGCATTAACAACTGATACTTGTATATATTATAGCTGTAACTATATTTGATTTGAACCTGTCTACATTATATTACGGAACACAGGAATATTCTTTATGAAATTTGAAATAAAAATGCTTCATACTGTACCTTTAAACAGTTCTAATAGAAAGTGCTGAATCAAACTACTAAAAATTGGTTTGACTTTTCTTATTAAAATGTTATGTTATTTTGTAAGTCTGTAAAAAAAAAAAAAAAATCCCTTATATTAAAATGCTGTTTTTACTATATGTGTTTTGTACAATATTTGCCCTTGGAAATTTGGGCATCACTTCTGCATCTTGTTTTTGACATTATTGAACCCTGTGCGCCCAGAGCTCCAGGAGCAGTTGGACCGAGCACAGCGTCTGGAGGAGGAGCGTCAGCGTGTGGCGGAGGAGGCGGCCCGACTGGAGACTGAGCGCATGGAGGCCATTATCGCCAAAGAGGAGCTGGCCCGACAGGCAGAGGACCAACTCAAGAACCAAGAGCAGCTGGTGAGCCCCCGACCACAGTCAAGTTACATTAGGACATATTAAATGACCGTAGGACTGGCGTTAATGCGTGTTTTAATATTGTATAGGTTAGATTGCATTTTTTTATGGAATTATATGATTATGATTATTGTAGGTTATATTTAAAAACAACTCTACTGCAGCTCTATAATAACTTACAGAAAATGCAATCTAGTGATAAATTAAAGTGGTCTTTCCTATTTTCCTGCATTGTAATTATCTAACATTCGGAGTATGTAAGAAATAGTTTAGCATTTTTCTGAAAATAAATTAGTGTCATATTTTGTATTGTCCTGCTTAACACAAGACACATTTAAAGATGCACTGTGTAACTTCTCTGGAGAGGGTCTGTAACCTGTTTGTGTCCATAGAGATGTTAATGCTTTGGTTTAAATTGTCCAGATTATGGTATTAGATTAATCTGTCTTGCATTTTCTCAACTACAGGTGTTTAAGTGCTCAAAAATATCTGAAAAATGTTAATTTTAACTGTGAGTGGGGTCACCTCTATATAATTCTAACTTGTAATTTGGCAAGCAGATACTCCACCAGACCAGTTACACCGTGCACCTTTAAACTGATTAGAAATTGGTGATTCGATCATCATAGACTGCGCTGATGCCTCTCATATCTTAAATGGGGGTCGTAGCTTGTTTAAATGTTCAGGTTAGGTAATATTTTCTTGAGAAATATCAAAAACTGTTGAACATGGTAATTTAAAGGTGCAATGCATAATATTTTTAGTAGAGGATCCGCCACTGATATATTATTGCTTTGCCTTGAATGTTCCACAATTAAACCTATCTATCACAAGGGAGACAAGGAGGCTGAAGCACTACACTACATTACAATTCAGATCTGTGGAGAGTTGCCCCTATTCACAGACGGAATTATTGTATTTTTGGCGCCCATAATTAATAGAGACAAGTAGGTAGCAGACCCTCCACCAGAAAAGCTGCGTAGTGCACCTTTAAATTAGCAACACACATATATCTTTATATCTTATCTATAACTATCTTTAACACACTAACAAATCAGAATTCCCAAAGCATCATCTGTACAAAAACTACGTAATGTTGTGATCTAATCTAAAATTCAGCGATAAGTCATAGAATGATTTCCTGTTCTCTCATTCATAAAACAGGAACACAAAAAACAGGTGTCCAGTGTCATATTTGTACTCAACACTGTGTGCTTTTCCCTCAGGCGGCTGAGCTGGCCGAGTACGAAGCCAAGATCGCCGCTTTGGAGGAGGCCAAGAGAGTCAAAGAGGAGGAGGCGGACACATGGCACAGCAAGGTCAGAGTCACTAGAGCATAGAGGGGTATATATGTATAATCACATTGTACTAACAGGGCTAAAGGGACATGTTTTATACACTAATTGGTTCAGCCCTAACTGTAGTACCACATCACTGGCTCTTAAACCTTTCACTTCACATACCTCATAGAATATTTTGATCTTCCTTTGACAAATTCAGACAAAACCAGGTGTAAAACTGGACTAAAATAGGCCTAAACTAGAACCAAGTCAGGACTGTGAACCAGATCAAAACCGGGGAGAAACCAGAATATCCCCGTCTTAATACTGGACCTAAAACATAAATAACTAAAGATAAAATTGTATCTAATTATAGTAAATAAAGTTGGAACAACAGAAGACTGGCAAAGGCAGGCCAGGTGCGACCAGTGGTTCACATACCACAGTTTGAGAAGCTCTAGATTACAACGTGATGGAGAGAAAATTGTGATGCCAGTGCTATTCCTTATTATACTTTAATAGATACTGAGACAGGAACCATAACATAGCATAGCATAGCATAGCATTGCATAGCATAGCATAGCAAAATAATTTGTCTAATGTAAGTTCAAGGGACCATTATTAATACTTTATTTACTTTATTATACTAAACTGTAATGTTTTTAGGCCAAAGAGGTGGAGGAGAGCCTGGTCCGCACAAAAGAGGAGCTGCAGACAGTCCGGAGGTCTAACTCTCGTGGTGGGTCTTCTTCTTCTTCTTCGGACAGTGAGAGTGACCACGAGCACAGCGAGGAGAACAGCACCTACAGCGCTGAACTGCACCAGAACGAAATCAATGACCACCACGAGGAAGAGGAGCGGCTGACCGAGGCTGAGAAGAATGAAAGACTCCAGAAGCAACTCCAGGTCAGGAAGAGAGGGGGAATTATTATAAACTTAAAATAAAATACAGTTCATTCGCAATCAGTATATAAACACGCTATATATTTAAATAACTTCAAAAGCAAAAATAGTTCAACTTCAGTAGCAAAAATAGATATCTCCTTTAACTCCAAGCCTCTGATGACTTTTTTCAAATAAACTGTCCACATGTTTCCAGTGAGAGCACATGCCTGTCTATGTCTATTTTCAAGAATACTTCAGTTATGCCTCTCCCTTCGTCTCTGTAATTACTGGTATACACTTTGATGTCAAATAATTGTAAATGATTAGTGCCTGTCGACCTAAGCAAAGGTCACCAGTTTGATCCCCACTAAACCAGTACATATTGTAGTTGTGTACTTGGGCAAGACATGTCACCCACCATGTCTATATGTGAAAAAATTATGTAAATGAGTAGACGGTGGTGGGTCTATGGGGCTGATGGCTAGGCCTGTCAGGATAACAGGAAGTGCAATATGTTGAGATAAATGATAATATTGAAACTACTTTACTACCATTACCGTTAACGCTGTGTGTAAGATGAGCCCAGTAAACCATTTTTAAATAAACGGTATCTTTAAAAGGCCTGAGCTGCAACAAATAATAATAGAATAAAAGGTAATTATTCAACCCTCCAAAGTTCAAATCATATTGTATTAACAACCCAAATTCACAAAGAAAATGTACACATGATAAATACTGATCTCCAAAATATATTGTTCCAACTTTCACATATTGAATATATATAAGGCAATATACTAAATACTGTGTACCACCCACTGATGGCACAGATTGGCCATACTTCACCAGTCTGCTCCAAGGCAGCTGTAGCTACAGATGACAATCAACTAAGAGTGAATGCATAAAGACGATAGTGTGAAGTCTGTAAAGCACAAAGTACTGTGTAAACCAAGGCATTAGTATTCAAAACAATCTACAAACACCAGATTATAATTTATTTTTACTAAAACAAATCAACAGTGTGCATGTAAACACTTTCAGTTGACATGATATGAAGTCAAAATATGACCTTCCCCATTATAAGATTATATAGGGCTTAACAAGGTTACAGATGATAATAAAGGTTTGACTTTAAGCTTTAAATATAATCATAATTACACTTTATGTTAATGACATGGTTTTGTTCAAGTGTTGTTCTGGGAAGTGCTGTTTGGTCCATTCACATAAAGCATTATACGATAAAGAAGTGAAAGTGAGTGATGCTATAATTATGGCGATGGATAAAAGTAACAGAAACAAGAAGCAACAACAGTAGTGTTGAGAAAGAGAGGAAGTTGGAGGAAATGTTCTAAAATGGTCAAAATAAGAAAAACATTGCTTTTGTTTGGTACTTTTTCAGATGTGTCATCTGCATACATTTACGTACTGATAGTTCTCTAACTAATATAACAAGCTGCATAACAGAATTTACATAAGGTGGGATGATTAGCATTGGTACACTACGTATTCAAATGTACTTGTATCAGAGAGTACAAACATTGTGTTCTAAAACATCTCTTTTCTTTCTTGCCCCAGGCCCTGAGCTCAGAGTTGGCCACTGCTCGCGATGACAACAAGAAGACAGCCAATGACATGCTCCACGCCGAAAACGTGCGTGCCGGTCGGGACAAATATAAGACCCTTCGCCAGATTCGTATGGGCAACACCAAGCAAAGGATTGATGAGTTTGAAGCTTTGTAGATGCATATGAAATTCGAGATGTAAAATACCTCGCAAAGTCTGGTCTGTCCACTTAAATTAAAATATATTGGGTGAGACTTTAGTTTAGGGATCACATATTAATGCTAACTAAGTGGTATTTGTTATACTAATTAGCTGTTACTTAGCTATTAGTTTGTATTATCAAACACTTATTATGTTTATTAAAGCTGCACTATGTAACTTTATTGTTGGTTGTGCATCATCTTCTGGTTTCTGTGGAAATGTCATTGCTCTGCTTGGAATGTTCCACAGTATGACATTAAATAGATCTACCTTACATGTATTCAATTACAGGTCAAAAATACCTAGAAAAATAAGAATTCTGACTATGAGCGTGGGTCGCCTCTCCACAGATCTGACCTGTAACTTGGTCTGATTTGGTCTCCATAAAGATAGAAAGGTTTAAAATTGTGAAACATTCCAGTCAAAACAATAACATCTCTGTGGAGAAAAGCATTTGATGGACTCTCCACCAGAAAAGTTACACAATGCACCTTTAAAATTTTAGTGTATGTACAAAAATATCTATTGTAATCCCCACTACTTTAATGGAAAAAAAAGTTAGTAGGCTTAATACTGCAAACTACAGCCTTAGACAAAAATACATTGAAAGTACTTTATAAATACTAACAAAGATGCAATTAAGCACTTCTCATGCATTTTACTATTAGCTAGCTATTAATATGTGATCCCCAAACTAGTGTTAGCATATATTGTTTTTAGACACATATAGGATGAAGGAAGTTTGGGAAAGGCTATAATAGCACAATACAGAAAATATAACATACAATAAATACTTTTGGATAGGTTATACTTTTAAAAGAAACAAAAAACTTCTTACAGGACTTACAAAACAACAATAATTTTCATGAATGGAAAGCACTCATCTTTTGTTGTTGATTATTATAGTTCATCCCTTCTTAATTGTGCATGTTTGACTATGTTAACGCTCCAAACATCTCCACTGTACTACTCTCTCCACTAAAATGCAAATATAATCCTGTTTTGTAACATTAATACGAACAAAAATGGAATGTACAATTATTTGTACATTATTTCTTTGTACGCTAGCAAGAAAAGTACCATGAAGTAAGTGTCACCTATTTCATGTCTTCAATAATAATAAAGACTATTTAACTACTTTAAAAATGCGTCATGAAGTATTTACCAGAAATTATGAGAAACACCAGTGAAACACCAGACTGTGTAACTAAAAACAGTGATTATCCATTCACTGTTTTGCTCAAATCACAAAGGTTGTTACTTTTGTCTATAGAGTTGACATACCAGGTCCTTTTACTGATATGAACAGGTCTTTTGTGCTTTTCTAAAGTTGACTACTAAAACTAATTTCCTTCCTCCTCGTTCATGTATTTGTTTTAAAGACGACATTGCAGCTTCAGTCTTGTTCAAACTGTCTTACGTAACTAACTTGAATACAGTAGCAGGTGTTGAATAAACATCTTTTCAAAATTTTAATGGCTCAGTTCAACTCAAAATAATGCAAAAAAGTAAATAAATAAAGTAAAACTAGTGGGTTATATGCTTTCTCAACCTGATGAGAACAGAAAGGAGAGTTTCCTGTATGGAGCATGAGGCACATTTATAGTGAGATCAAAACAATACGCATGGACTTGGACTTGTATAGTAGGCCTAAAATTTAAGAAAAAATAACAATTACTTCACTCTTTCTAAATGAACAGGTAACATTAAGCTCCACACCTGTGACCGGATGTGCCTTGTATAAATATTTACTCAGAGAAGAAGAAACGTTATCTCGAGGTTGCTAGACAACTTACGCAGCCGGTAACGCTGCTTGTTTAAATAACCACTATAGGTCAATATTTTACCTTCAAATGGCCGCGAGGATTACACTTAGTTTTCTGTAAGGGCAGCGCGAGCTACTTGTTGGAGGAAACGCTGTTTATTTTGGCCTTATTGGACACAGAGCGTGTGCGTAAAGCTCCTACTCCAAAAACTCCGTGGGATTGCCCAGTTTTTTTCCTCAGCGAAATCTAAATATAAAGTGGTGACAAATAGTCCAAATACAGTAGCAACCCAACTGTGATGTGGGGGTGGTGCTGAAAGAACAGCTCTTTCGGTCTCCACGCGCCTCACTGTTGGATCGGGACTCGAGGAGTGAAGACAGGGTCGGGAATAAAAGACGGACAAAAAAAAACACAACAGGCGTTTGAGGGTGTGTTTTATCATGAAGAGGCAAAACGCGCGGACTCTGGCTCTCATAGTCAGCATCCTCACCTACCTGGTGGTGGGAGCCGCGGTATTTGAGACCCTCGAGTCCAAACAGGAGAAAAGTCACAAGCGGAGACTCGACGCGCGGAAATACGAGCTGATGCGCAAACTGAACTTAACCAAAGAAAACTTCGAGGAGCTGGAGTCCGTGGTGCTGCAACTAAAACCGCACAAAGCCGGGGTCCAGTGGAAGTTCGCCGGCTCTTTCTACTTCGCCATCACTGTGATCACTACCATAGGTGAGTGGCATCAGCTCTCGGGACAAGCATCAGAGATGAGGTCATCTCGTCACGTCTCGTCAGCACCAGTGCACAGAGACAGCCATGATAAAAACAGCGTGCTTTAATTTTTAATGAATCATGTTTCAGCGTGTAGTCTATACGTTCACAACGTCCCCTGACATTAAAATATGACTTATTGTGGGACTGCTGGACTTTAAATTCATCTGGCTGGAATGGTAATTAAAGAAAAAGTACAAAACTAGGATACAATCAATACAATCAATCACAAACAACTAGCCTATTCAACCAGGGCCTGAGGAACCTAGAACTTTATCGTTTTGTTTTTTTTGTTTTGTTTTTTTTTTATCTTAAGGGCTTATGCAAAACAAGGTAATCACATTGAGTTCTTTTACAGTCTCTCAGTTCATTGTGTACACTTCAACCACACAATTAAATGACCAGTTGAAGATGCAAACATTTCTTTGAGATATATAGCCTTTTTTTAGTATAGTATTTGAAAAGATAACATTTGTATTTAAAAATGTATTTATTGTTCAGATAAGCTTCCATTCATTTAGTATTTATTTTGATCTAGTTAGTATCCATATTTTTTTTATCTTAAATTATATAAAACAAAAGACCTGTAGGCCCAGCAGTTTACTACAGAAATGCCATGTTTTTTTTCACACTTGAGGTTAGTGATACCAATGTGTTTTGTTTTTGTAACTGTTTACAAAATCTCTGTGGAGTGGGAGCTGAAGCTGTAATATCAGATCACATTTGTTCATGTCAGTGGGTCTACTCTGATGAAGTGAGAAGTGATGTGTTAAGACAACTGAAGGATTTGCACATTGGCTTGTGTTGTGGTGGTAACACTTTCTGCTTGGATTCTTCAGTGATGAAAGCGTAGAATTTTAAGAACAGGAATTCCTGCATTTGATTTCTAATAAAAGCTTTTGGACAAGCCAATTTATTTTCTCACATTCAAAAATCCACCAAAGTCGTATTTCAAAAGGAGGCATAGACGGTATGGCAAGGTACGTTTTTTATTGTTGCTGAAAGTATACACCCATAATTCACTATATTATGCACAATATATTCCCTACTGGGGAACATTATAAGGAAAGTAATAACATATCTAAGGAGACAAAAAAGGTACATAGTGCACCATATTTAATCAGACTGGATTTTGCAGGCCATATAAAAGACAAATCATGCTCTGATTAGCCATCACCAATGTCTTGAAGAAGAAAGACTCAGGCAAGCCACAGTTACACACGGTCAACCACATAGCAAAATACACACTTTTAATTAGTGTTATTTAAAACATGAAAAAATGCTATTTAAAATTTCCAAAGTGTGACCTCTGCTCCAAACAACAGACTTTTCTATCAGAGGACTAGCTGTAGACCTTTTGGTTTTAAAAGCCCGCCATGAGTCACTGCCAGTTTGCAATGACTGAAACTTGATTAATATAATAATAAAAATAATGCATTTGATTTATATAGCACTTTTTGCACACTTAATTGTGCAGTAATCAGTCACTCCACACTCTGTCATGGTAAGCTACTATGAGCTGACAGAAATAGGGCTGATCACCAACACTCATGCACACTCCACATTCATACTAGGCAATGTGGGTGAGTGAAGTGCCTTGCCTAAGGACACAATGACAAATTCCACTAAAGCCACTGCTGCCTCACCGTATTACCACTGTTTTCCAGTCCAAGTACTGAGTAGGCCCAGCCATACTTGGTTTCAAACCTCTCAAGTGATCGGGCATTGACAAGTATTTGTCCAATATTTGCATTTGTCAAATATTAATTTCCGTGTACATTAGAGGAGTTTTGGCCCTGCATACAAGAACAGTTATGGAATTCCCTAGCTTGAAGTCATGATTTCATACAAGGAAGTAAAATTTTTAAATTTTTAAATCCCCCAAAAAATATATATATATTTTTGTGTGTGTGTGAAAATGTTAAATATAACATGTTTTAGTTAAAGGTCCTATATTACATAAAATGGACTCTGAGCTTTAAGCTATCTTATAACGTTACGGTCTCAAAAACATACATGTCTGAGTAAACTTTTATTATTAATCTACATCTCGACAGCTCAAAAGCTTTGTGACATCTTGTAATGTTATATAGTGGTTGTTTTCAAATTAACAGCTGCCTTTTACCTTCAGTAGAGATTGGCAATTCTAGGGCTGAAATCATTCAAATGATGAAGATGAAGTGAAGACAGTGGGGCATGTCCTCTATTACCACATGGCATCGCAAGGCAGAACAGAGTGTTTTCTGTTTGATAGAAGAACTCAAGGAGCCTAAATATGCAGGGTTTGTGTGTTAAACATGTGTGAATCAAACAAAACAAAAGTCCAGATATGTTTCTGATGAGGAACCAACATTATAATATAGATCAGAAAATAGCCTAATATGGGACCTTTAAATGAACAGTCCAACCTAAACAGCCTCTCCTCTTCTCTCTCCAGGTTATGGCCACGCGGCCCCCAGCACAGACTCAGGGAAAGTCTTCTGTATGTTTTACGCTCTGCTGGGGATCCCTCTCACCCTGGTCATGTTTCAGAGTCTGGGTGAACGCATCAACACTTTTGTCAGATATCTTTTGCACCAAGCCAAGAAGTGCCTGGGCATGAGACGAACTGAGGTCTCTATGGCTAACATGGTAACGGTGGGATTCTTCTCCTGCCTCAGCACCCTCTGCATAGGCGCCATCTTGTTTTCCCAATCGGAGGGGTGGAGTTTTCTACATGCTTTCTACTATTGCTTTATCACACTGACCACGATTGGATTTGGAGATTACGTAGCTCTTCAAAAGGACGACGCTTTGCAAAATGATCCAAGATATGTTGCCTTCTGCTTTGTCTATATCCTCATGGGGTTGACCGTAATAGGGGCGTTTCTGAATTTAGTTGTTTTGAGATTTTTGACAATGAATACGGAAGATGAGAGAAGAGACGCTAAACAGAAAGCACTGATGACAATAAATAAACCAAGAGCAGAGGTGGCAAGACTTCTGCCACTATCCACGGCCACCACACCTGTAGCAGAGACAAAATCGAAAGAATTAAAGGGTGTTTATACAGAAGTTTTACATTTCCAGACTATATGCTCCTGTCTTTGGTATAGAAGTAAGGAGAAATTGCAAAGCTCCTCGTCAATGATACCGGAACTGGCTATTTCAGACCCTTATCTTCAAACAGACAGCACAGTTCACTATGTTGAACCAGGGACTACAGGCTGTATGTGCTCGCCAAGACAATGCACCAATATTAGCTCAATAACAACAGGTTTCCTCTCTCCTTTTAGAGTTTTTAAGAGACGCAGCTCGGTGTAGCCTCCATCCAATTCAGCAGATTGGACAACACAATACAGCACTATATGCGGCCATCTTGCCAAAAACTATGACAGAAATTTGGCAAGAGGCGCAAAGAGTGGGAGCGTTCGTGGTGCTATAAACCCAAAATTCAACAGGCGGACGCGGAGAGGGAGTGTGCCATGTGCAGAAAAGTCCTGCTCAGATAATATATGTTTGAGAAGGAGTACGCACATAGACTTTTAAGGGTTGGTCTAAAACTGTTGACATGTGTGTCCTGTTAAAAAGACTAATGCAAAGAGATGACAACACTGGGGCTGCACAAGGTATGACAAATGTAGGCTTTATAAATCAGTAAGTGCATTTTACTTGCTGTCTCCATGGAGATGTTATTACTCTGCTTAAAATGTTCCACAATGTCACATCAAACTCTATAATAAAAACTCTAACTACATCTTACATTCATTCAATTAGGTGTTTTATTGCTTATAATACCTTGAAAAACTAATTCCCACTCCCTTCTCCACAGATCTGACCTATAACCTGGCTTGGTTGTGCCACTTGTTTGTTTCTATGGAGACAGATAAGTTTGCTGCCATACACTGTGGAAAATTTTCAGGCAAAGCAGTAACATCTCCAACAAGCAGGAAAGTTAAGTTTAAGTTTTTTATTTTATTTTGAAATATGGTCCAGCCCTTGTGATTTAAAAATGTGGTGTACAGTGTCAACATCTCAAACCCAGAGTATAGTTGGACGTGAATGAGAGATTTCATTAGTCATGGCTTAATCACAGTCTTTCTATTGTTTACCAAGAGAGACCAAAATCAGCGATCCGGCTGTTCTCTCCCATCTGAAAGAAGTCAGTCCCAGAATGTTGTAAGGACTCCAATAATGTTACCCAGAGGTTTCGTTGCAGTTTAAATGTTGTGTTTTGTTGTTTCTGTTAACCCCGGTACTGCAAAAGGTAAATACTGCTGAAATGATACTGGTGTGTGCTATAATAACAAACTATCCCACACAAGCGATCAGTGGTTTCAGAGTAATGGAAGATCTTAATGTAATTGCAACTCACAATTTAAAACAAAATAATATATCATTTAAATGCTGAAAAGTTCCCAAAATATCAGTTGAAATGCAATGGTAAATTAATAGTTAACATATGAGTATATCTTCGTATATATGTAAAATCCATTTATTTTGGTAGCTGTGCGTTTGACTCTATAAATTTGATGCACACATTGGAAAACTTTTTTGAAGATAAAATGGCAAACACAAAACTCCATTCGATGGAGACTGTATTGAACCAGTACAGATCAGTAAGTTACAGTTTAAACCAGGTCGCTGTCATGTTTTTGTGTTTTTAAGCTGAAATGACTGTAACTCAAAATGACTCAAAGTGGAGCGGCCTGTTGTTGTGGGCAAAATTATGTAATGAAACAAAGTTCAGAAAATCACAAACTGGATGGGCCAATGGACTCAGAAAACTCACATAAGTAGAAATGTGATTCTTGCAATAACAGCGCTGATACTAAACAAATGCAGTGACACTAAAACATAAAAACATCCTACTGTACTGTACCAGTAAAGCCACACTATGTAACTTTACATGGTGCCTAGTCCGCCACCTGTTTGTATACATGGAGATGTTATTGGTTCACTTGGAATGTTTCACAGTATGACATTAATCCATCTGGTATTTATTAAATTGCAGATGTTTTCTTGCAAAAATACCTTGATAAATCATCCATGAATTTATGAGTGGGCTTGCCGCTCTCCACAATTTGTCACCTGCCTGTCTCCATGGAGATAGAGAGTTTAATCACATACTGTAGAACATTACAGCCAAAGCGGTAACATCTCCATGGAACAAGCAGATGGTGGACTCTCTGCCAGAAAAGTGATATAGAGCACCTTTAAGACCACTCTCCAAACTCATGCAAAATTGCTTATTCCTTTTGATGCTGACCAGAGGAGGGATCCTCTGACCATTTAGCAATCACAATCTAATCCCTATAAACTGAAGTAGCGGGTTTTATAACAACCCTGTATATTTAAAGCTGTACTATGTAACTTGTCTCCATGGAGATGTTATTGTTTTGTCTGGAATGTTCCAGTATGGCATTAAACATATCCATCTTGTATTTACTCAATAACATGTTTTTATTGACCTAAAAACATGCATTCTTACTGTGAGTGGGCTTGCCTCTCCACAGATCAGACATGTAACCTAGCCCTGTGGCGTCAACTGTTGTCTCCATAGAGATAAATAAATGTAATGCCGCAGAGTGGAACATTCCAGGCAACAACTCCATGGAGAGAAGGAGGTGACTGACCCTTCACCAGAAAAGTTACATGATCCACCTTTAAAACATGTCTTATTTATTCTTGAATTATCTTCACTCCACTGAAAAAAAAAAAAAGTTCTTGGCAATGCAATAACTTAGAAAAGTCAAATCAAATGCTGTTTACTTTCATATGAGCACAAGGCTTAAGGACTTTTGTCATAATTAAAGAATGTACATTTCTTTTGCTTATTGGTTAAACACTTTGCATAAGATCTCCTCATATATTAATAAGCAATAATGACAATATGAGCCAAATCAGTATGTTATTTTCCCCAGCTCGTGTATAGCGCTGCTTGTTTGAATATAAGTCCAAGCTGCATCTGCACAGAGCTATAGATGGCACCTATTTTAAGCCAGCGTTCAGAGTGGCAGATGGGAGGGGCTTTACAACTCGGGACAAAGGATAATGAGGCACTTGTCAATCATCTGCAATTACTGTAAAAGTCTGTCAAAGGAAAAATCCATGTTTCTCACATTTCTCTGTCCATTTTACAGCGAACATGTGTTGATGTTGCTTCCTGTTAAGTTTAAATTAGGTTGGTAATTAGATCTTTCACAGTGGACAAAAACTGCATTTCAGATGCTAAAACTAGAATATCCCAGTACTTTATGAAGATTTAACACACAAATAGAATGCACATTTTTAGAAGATTTGTTTTAAAATGTTGAAACTGCATTTTTCAGACTTTTGTTGCCCTTGTCCCAATTTTGTTTCTGTATTTATTTTACAGATATAAAACTTTTGTTAGTTGTATGAGATTTGTTACTTTACTGATTTTTTTTTTTTTTTGTTTTGCATGTTTCATGTTCATGGTACAATTTGGTATGTTTATTTTATTTCCAAAATAGCAGAGACATAATGTTACGTTGTAAACCACTTTCTATTAAAGTGCCCATATCATACTATTTTCTGATCTATGATATAATGTTATTTCCTTATCACAAACATGCCTGAAGTTGTGTTTTGTTTCATTCACATGTTTAACACATAAATTTTGCATATTTAGGCTGAGTTTTACTCTCAAACAGAATACACTCTATTCCACCTTGTGATGTGTGAATGAAACAAAACACATCTCCAGATATGTTTTTTGAGGATGTAACAACATTCTAACATGGCTTAAAACTCACAAGAGTAAATTTTGCATAATATGGGACCTTTAATGTCTGAAAGATAACAGTTTTTTATGACCAACTCCAATAAGCCAGACTGCAGCAGCCAAATGCACGCTATATGCAAGAGCTGTACCGGAGACTTTTTAAGGCAGGAGCAAAGTTGTACTTGAACACAATACACTTGAAGCTGTTTGCCTGTCAACACTTGAAAAAACTGTATAATATTTATTTGCATTGTTATTTTCAAAGAGATGTGTGTGGTAACATGAATTGCACAAACATGTCACTTTGGGCCAGTTATAAAGAATTAAGAGAAATATAAGTACAATAAAATGTCTGATATTTTATCCTAAATAAGTGGATTGCTGTATTTATTGTCCAAAAATATACAGAGATGTGTTCTATTTATGAATGTGAATGAATGACCACTACTGCACTATTGCAGGAGTCTCCAACCTGTAGCTCAGGAGCTACAAGTAGCTCTCCACCCTCTTCCAAGTAGCTCGTCAAGGCATTACTGAATTACACGTATTGTGCTGAATAAGTAAAATTTGATTGATTAAACGCCTTTTACCATTGCACATGTATCATTTTGATGCCTAACTTTGTGCCCTAAATAATGGATAATGGTTTATGGTTCATGGCTCTTGGATATAATACATTTCATGTGATAGTCAAAATTAGTAGCTCTCTGATATTTTTGTTTTGTAAAGGTAGCTCACACAAGGAAAAAGGTTGGAAACTCTTGCACTATTTTAGCGTGTGTTATGTCCCCTGCATGACCATCCCACATTTAACATATTCAATTTTTTTACCCATTTGCCCTACATGCAAAATAGCTATTAGAAAAAAAAATCACCATGATCTTAAAATACTGGGTAAAATTTCAATTTTTTTCTCAAAATCATAATCATATAGAGCATATAGATGTCATTGTGTCCTTAGGCAAGACACTTCACCCATATTATCTAGTATAAAAGAGGTGTGTATGTCAGTGATGGTGGTGGTAAGAAGGACTGATGGAGCAGCTTGGAAGCCTGGCTTCTGTTAATCTGCAGGGCAGCTGTGGCTATAACAGTAGTTTAATGAATAATTAAATTGTGATTTTGAGCATCTGGAGTGTTATATAAGACTAATTAATTATTATTACTATAGATCATATAGATACATTTCAAAAAGAAAATTTGTATTTTTTTATTTGTGTGTAGAAATAGAAGAATCAAATATCAAGTGGGTTTTTATAAAAATCATGAAATGAATCAATTAATGTACTTTAATCACCAATATATGGTTGAATATATAGTTAATATAAATAGTGTATATAAGTGTAGGAGGTGCAGTCTCCACTCCTTATTCAAAAGACTGGTACACTTGTTTCCTGACCTTTAGCGTGACCACATAAACAGTGATCACAGCCCAGGCCCCGCTCTATCGTCGTGTACAGTGAGAAAACCCTGCCTGCTGAATGTATAGAAAAGTCCCTTGGGTCCAGATGGCTGGGCCCTGGGAGCCCTGACTGAGCTCCAGCTCCGGACAACCTACAGCAGGTGAGTCACTATATGGAGGAGGACCATTACATGTTCACTGTGTTACTCTACAATATAGCCACCACTATAATGCTAACATATTGTAGATACAGTCTGTTTTCTTGTTATTTAAACAGCTTTATCCTTCTCCATAAACACTACTCAATCTGGTCGTGCACAAATTTGTTGAGCACGGGTTTTTATGTAAGACACCCTTTATAATTAGTCCAGCAATACATTTATTTTCTAGAAGCAGGTCTACATGCTACCCATTTATCCCTGAAATGTTCCACAGTATGGCAGTAAACGTAATATCTTTGTCTTTACATGCTTGCTTACCTGTGAGGAGGCTTGCCTATTCTCAGATCTAACCTATAACCTTGTTTTTTGTTTTTTTATGGGAAAGCAATTACATGTCCATAGAGGTAGGCAGGTGGCAGACCCTGCAGTGCACCTTTAACTTATGATTCATCCCTTATCCAATTAGTAACTATAAGTGGACCCTTTACTAAAGACGGGGATCAGCTCAGTCAATGCGTAGAATCTTTAATATGGCTGCACTGTGCTTTCTAATAAACAACATTAGTAATAAACATCATTAATATAAACAATAAATGGGAAAAATATAAATATACACTAACTGTTTCATTTTCCTACCTTGCATTATTGTCTTCTTCTATGCACAGGAACACAATTAAGCAGCGGACATCATGCATTGCCCTTATGTCAAGTGTGAAGTCTTGGCGCTATATTTAGTTCCAAGTTCTTAAGGCCCAGATTGTCCCTCCTCAGTCGTCTGGCTCCTTTGAACAAGACACTTTGAAAATGCAGCAATGTTCTTCACTGTTTTAATCTCCCTTTTGTTTAACCTCTGATGACACTACAGATGGTGAAGTGTTTGGGATACATTTGCGCAGTTTTGCAACAGTGGATCTAAAAGCCTGGCCCACTGCCTGCCAATTGTCCCTTGAGGGCATCACACTCACAGAAAGGGAACAGAAGGAAGGGTCTATTGGACATGTCCCAGTGCTGCCCCCCCGTGGACAGAGCATCTGCTGCACTCTCCTTTGGCCATAGACCCAGGTCACAGACTGAAATAACTGCACAGAGAAGTTCAAATGACGTAATCTGGTCTGAGAGGCAGGTGACAGGTGACACAGGGAAAGGAACCATTCAAAACACTGGTTGGATTCAATATATTTGAATATAATTAAATAAACAAGAGCCAAATTGTGATCAGTAAGGTCAAAACATGTCCAAAATTACAGCTCTGTAGGTCTGAAGGAACAGTGGTCCAACAGGCGAACAAAATACAACAGTGGGTTTGATTATTACCTTGCTGTATCCTGGAAGCCTATTTTGAGTTTTCATAATCAATCCGAGTCAGTGGGTTATTTTTTCCTAAACATTATTCAGACCGTGTTACAGTTCACGTTGGGGTCATTGCGGGGGCAGGGCCTTTAGAGGCGGGCCCTGTGCGCTATGAGCCTATGGAACCAGCCGAGGGAGCTGTTCACCCAGATCACGCTCAGCAGCGAGAGGTCCTGTCTCTTTAACACAAGTTCAATGTCCATTCACAATAAACTGCTCCAAGATGGAACTCCGGGCAGCGGCTGTGAACGCCTTGGCCCAACACCGGAAAGTGGCTCTCCTGATCGGCGGGGCTGGCGCTGCTCTGCTCGGCCTCGCGGTGGGTTATAAATATCTGCGAAAACCAGAAAAGCTCGTGCGCGTGGGCGTCGTGTCGCAGCTTCTTGTTCACCCGCTTAAATCTGGGAAAGCGCTCTCCGTGGCGCTCGCCGAGTGCCTCAGAACTGGGCTCAAGTTTGGAGACCTGCAGGATCGGTGAGTGCAGCGCGACGAGGGACACTTCCACCAGTGCAACAAGTGGAAACATAAAGTAGACTGTGATATATACAGTTTATGAGTGGGTTTATCACACAGGGCACGTTGCATAAGCCCAACAACACAGGGAGTCAGGATTACTATTAGACTATTTTATCACACCATTTCCCCTTTTGTACATGTATTTTTGTTGACTAAATGCCTATTCCCACCGTAATGATGTGATGTGAAACCATATGCCTAAACATCTGTAAATGATGCAAGTGCTTGTAAAGACTACCCACTTCACTTTAACGGCCCATGTACCGTTGGGGAAAGTAGGGATACATTATTTCCTCCCTTCCCAGTGCCAAAAGTGAATCCTCTTCTTGCTTCAGGCATATCTGTGGCATCTATCATGTAACTTATTATTAAAGCCCACAAGTTTCTGCCCATTTAGGCTGGTCTGTTTGTTTTTACCCAAGAGGTCAGTACAGAGTGCAGTCCACTACAGCCATCAAGTGGGATGGACTCACCTCTGTTTTTATGAGAGTTGTCTGATCATGATGCCAGCAATAACGGGCAGATGGGTGGTGGTGGGAGAGACAGAGTTGAGGGCAGTTTCCAGTTTCTGTTACACTGTGAACAGCTAATCATGTGTTGGCCATTTTGTTGTATAATCACAAGATGCTGACTTTCATTCCTTTACCCATGTTGTGTTTCCAGACACTGGATGGTGGTGACTGAGGATGGCCACATGGTGACCGGGCGACAGGAGCCCCGTTTGGTCCTGATGAGACTGACTTGTGAGGCGGGACAAGTCTGTTTGAACGGGCCCAATATGGAGGAGCTCAAAGTCCCCATGGAGAATCCTCAAAACAGGGTCCTCGACTGCAGGTCATTTAAAATATATTTTATTATGCTATTTTCTGAACTGTCTTATAATGTTATTTCCTTATCACAAACATACCTGGAGTCTGTTCCATCTTGTGATGTCCTCCACTGTGTTTTTAAACTCCATACACCTTCACTAGAATAATTTGGATAATTTCAGCACTGAAATTGCCAATCTACTGAACTAAAGGTAAAAAGAGCTGTTATCTTGAAGACTACCATTTCATGACATCACAAGAGCGCAGAGCATTTTGAGCTAGACATACTAATAATGCAGGGTTACTCATGTGTAAATGAAACAAAATGCAACTCCAGGTATGTTTTTGAGGAAGTAACAGCATTATAACATGGCTTAAAGATAATAAAAGTCAATTTGACGTAATATAAGACCTTTAATTAACTTCAATTATATCTAGAGCAGGGATCGTCAATGTGTTTCAGACCAGGGACCCCCAAACTGATGGAGGCAGGGACCCCGTACTATATATATGGTATACGATTCTGTTATATATTAAATTGGGCCTAGTGTCATGTATAAACAGCTGCTCTGTTATTGTACATTCAATACTGGGGGGTATTCCATCGAAGTCGCTTAACAAGTCCAGGCTTATCCTAAAATCCTGAGCTGAAACTAGCTCCATCTCCAGTTTAAGCCTCAACTCATTTCATGACAGAAATAAGCCTGAGTCTATGCTAACTCAGGCCTGAACTTTAAGCGGTGCTTTTGTGTGCACTCCTAGTGACTCTGAGAAGGCCAGATTAATGGAGCAACGACATTACGGAAAAATCTGACTTTTTTTTAAATGATTGGATTAAATGAGAGAGGAGTCACAGCATGCATGGACAAGAGTTTGATATAGTAGACTGAATATTTACGGTCATTCTGATCTGAGGAGTGAGAGGAAAGACACCACTCCCCCCTCCCCTCCTGTTCGCTCCCCCTCCTCTCCCGGTCGCTCAGCGGGTAGAGAGGAGGCTGACTGCGTAGTGCGGAGCTTGGTTAATGCAGTCCGGGAAATGAAGTTGCCTTACCCTTTCCCGATGCGCTCTAGTGTGTACAGAGCTTAAGTTCCACTGTGCGTAAAAGTAAAGCTATAACAAACCTCTTCACATGTAGCCTAGAAGAAACAATAAATTCCATGTAGAGTTTGACAGGGAGGGAGAGATGAGGGAATGATGAGAGCGAGACAGACGTGATGAAGGAGCGAACAGTCTGAACACACAGAAAACCAGTTCATCCTCATCCTTCAAAAATGAAGAAATATCAAAACAAACAAACAAACAAAAAACACTAATCAACCAAAGATTTCATGACCCCCCCGGCAGTACCTCTGTGACCCCCAAGGGGTCACGACCCTCTGTTGAAGAGCTCTGATGTAGAGTTATTTCATCTCTATGTACTTATAGCTTGATTTGAGTTCAGATGAAGCCTTTTGTCGCTAGGGAGTTGTTTGGCACGGCAGCAAAATCAATCCTACGACTCAGGAACATTTTAGATAACATTGTATAGCTTATCTTTGGGCAAGGCACTTAACACACTGCATTCTGCTGCTTTAAAGTGTATAAAAGATTTTACATGAGGAACAAATGACATTGGCTTGACATTTCTTTATGATTTGATGCACTCACTCGACAACACTGATAAAGAATTTGTGAACTAAAACAGATTGAAAACTTCACATCTTCTTGCCTATTTCTGTAGAGTTATTTTTAGACAACTGGTGAGTCTCTTCTGTTGTGTTGGTTCTCGCAGGTCGAAAAACAAATGTGTGTGTTTGTGTATATATCTAGAGAGAGAGATATGAAAAAGCACATATCTTAACACTAATTAATGTGTTGTGCAGAGTGTTTGGGGCAGACATACAAGGAAGGGACTGTGGAGAAGATGCCTCCTCATGGGTCACTCGTTATCTCAAAGCAGAAAAGACCTATCGCCTCGTGCACTTTGAACCCCAGATGAAGGGGAGGAAACCAGAGGAGACACTGTTCCCAAAAGATGAGGTAAACCTATTCTAAGAACTGCATAATATGTTGAAAAGGTAATATTGCTCCATACAAATCATGTTATGAAAAATAAACTGTCGAAGTAGCTACTATAAAATGCATTATGTTACGTTTTTAATTGATTGTCCTTGATTAGGCCCTAATGCAGTTAAAAATGTGCATATGGTTTTTGTACAGGTTTAATGTAAAACTATTTGCCTTAATTGAAATGTTCCATAATATAGCATTAAAGCATTAAGCATTAAGCCTTAGAATGCTTTGGAAAAAACAACTTCACTGTGAGTGAGGTCACCTCTCCACAGACCTGACCTGTAGCAGTTTGTCTGCAAGTAGATTAATTTAATGCCATATTGTGAAATATTGCAGGAAAAGCATTAACAGAACGTATATTTCTAGTTTCTATAGTGTGCCTCCTACAAATTTATTTTAGACCAGGCTAGATATCTTGTTAACAGCTCAGTGACTGACTGAGGGTAACTGACTTACTTGTGGTGTCGTCGTTGTCCAGGAGGTGGCATACCCAGACTGTGGCCCTGTGATGATTCTTTCTGAAGCCTCAGTGAAGGACCTGAGCAGCAAACTGGAGAAGCCTGTGACAGTGGAGCGTTTCCGGCCAAATGTCATCATCAGCGACTGTGAACCTTTTGATGAGGTCAGTTCTTCGATTACTATAAAACAAAGAAAATTATTGAAGCTATAAATGTGTTCCTCTATCAAATTAACCGCATGTTGTACAGTTTAAGTGTCTGTGTATGTGTGTATGTAGGGATAGCTAAGTAAAAGGAACATTTCTATAGGTGTATAACAGATTCTAGCTAGTTATAATATTAAAACTATTGGTGCTTCAATACTGTTTGTACTTTAACTTGATGGTTTATTTATCGCACACACCTAGGGCTGAGTACTGCCTAGAACATGATACAATACATATCCCAGTCATAGACTGTAGAAGAAGTGGACTAAAGGAGCTCCAAATGAAGCTCATGAGGCTAGCAGTTCTACAGCAGGTTAGCTATGTCCATTTATATATACAGTCTATGATCCCGATACAGGGTTCACGATACAATATATTTCTCAGTACCCTAATTCACTACAAAGGTTTTCTAATTATAAATGTATGGTGAATAACAAAATTCACTAGAATTTCATGCCCACAGTGCCCTTAATATTACATCACACTCACGAATATCTCAACTGATTCCTGATTAACTTAATGCAGTAGTCCTCAGTAGGGCTGGGTATCATTAAGAAGTTGCAGATATGATACCTACCTCGATACATAGGCCACGATATGATACATATCTCGATGCAGTGCACTTTCAGTTCGATACAATATATTTCAAATCAATTCAATACATGTTCAATAAAAAAATAATAGCTAAATGACAGCTGACTGTGATACAAAAAGTCTTTGTTAAACCACTTCTTGTGCAAAATTAATATGAAACACACCCATTTTAATCATCAAAACACTGAAAATGTCAAATATTTGCATAAATGAGTTTTCTTCCTCTAGACAAGCAACAAAACTAGTGCTGTAACAAAATAATTTAAAATATACGAAATAATACTTAGTATGGTGATACGATAGATATCACTATATGCTTGTTATGATTCAGTATATCACGATATATCCCAATACTAAAAGACATGACTATATATTGTGATTTATCAATAATTACATATAATAATACCGTCAAGCACACCTTAAATAGAACCTCAGTAAATGGAATCTTATGATTTTTTCATGAAAAACATGACTTTAAAAAATATAGTCATATGCATTTTGAATTGATATGAGATTCCCACAGTGAATGAAACATTGTGATATATCATTGAACAGATTTTTGGCTTACACCCCTAGTATCTATACACTTGCCAAGAAGTCTTTAATGGAGACTGATTCCATAAAGTGTTACAAAATGGCTTGGTTCAGTTGGATTCAGACCAAGGCTACTGCTCTCTGTTTGTGTGTAAGAGTAACTATCACTAAAATGGCAATAATTAACCATACATTTCACCAATAAGAAACCACTTGCTGAATGTCACTACATCATTTTCTTCTCTTGTTATTGTTTGGATTCCCTTCTGTTAAATAATGATCATTTGGTTGAGGTCTGACTCATACGCAGCACCCTGTTCGGAGCAAGCAGCGTTGACTAATTTTATCTCTCAAACCAAATGTTGTGCTTTTTCAGGACTCTTGGGAGGAGATCCAGATTGGCAGCGTGCGACTGAAGCGTGTGATGGCGTGTGGAAGGTAACACCGATCCAGGAGCCAGTGTCACCGCAACGTTGCCAATGCACAATCTCACAGCGTTCACGGCCATTAGTAGTATTAGCATTTGATAACAGGCCATACTATGTGTTTATATTGTTTTGGACCAAATTAATCACACAAATACAGTGGATTGTATTATTTTCTGGAGGTTTAAAAGTCCTATATTACACTGAAATAACTTGACATGGTAACATGTTGTTGTTTGAGTAATTTATTTTATTAGTCTGTTTACATCTCTAGAATTCAAATTCCTTTTCCACCTTGTAATGTCATGAAGCGGAAGTTAACTTCTACCTTTTACTTTTAGTTCAGTAGAGATTGGCAATTCCAGAGCTGAAATCATCCAAATGATTCCAGTTAAGATGTGTGGGGTTTAAAAACACAGTGGAGCACCTTCTGTATTACCACTTGACATTGCAAGCTGTGTTAGACATCTGTGAATGAAATAAAACAAACTCCAGCTTTGTTTTTGATGAGAAAACAACATTATAGTATAGATCATAAAATAGGGTTATATAGGCCCTTTAAACTACTGTAAGTACCCTGAGAATTGTAGTAAGCATTAAAATATTAATTACAAGACTATTTGTAAGGTTGTCAGTACATGTAATGTAAATGCAAACAATCTTACTTCTGCAATTAACAATTTTAGTCAGTTACATGCTCTTTGTTAGTTAACCAAGATAAGGTACCAGAGACCCATTTTACAAACTTGAGTTAGGTTTGGTCAGCATTGTATAGCTGGAGGATTTTGTCTCCGAGTACCCAGATTAAACCTATCCATTAACAATGATAATATAATATGGATTTAATTTAGGGATCAACAGGAAGAGCTCAATTTGCATGAAAATTTTAAACTCAAATAGTAGCTGGCAGCTGCTTATTGTTTGTTTAAAATTGCATTGGAATTTACCTTAGATAATAGTGACCATGTTTTCACAGATGCATTTTCACCACAGTTGATCCTGAAACTGGTGTAATATCTAGGAAAGAGCCATTAGACACACTGAAAAGGTTTGTACAATATTAACTACAATGATATTATGATATTGTAAAATATTATAGTATTGTAGTCTTGTATTCATTTATCACCACATCAAGTTTATTACCAATACTTTTATTATTATTATGCCCTTGTACAAAAAACACACCTCTTTTTTTTTTTCAAGATCCTACATTGCGCAAAATTGACTCTACTAAGTCTCGAGCCATGTTAGAATGCTGTTAACTCTACCTGGTCTTGTGTTTTGTTTAATTTACACATGTTTGACTCTTACTTATTAGCCTTTCTACATCTTCAAACATCAAAATGCTCTGTTCCACCTTGTGATGTCATGAAACTGTAGTTTACAAGTAGTAGTTTTACCAACTACCTTTTGCATTTTGTTGAGTAGAGATTTTCAATTCCAGAGCTGATATTATCCAAATAATTCTAGTGAAGGTATATGGAGTGTAAAAACACAGTGGAGTGGTTCCTGTATTACAACATGACAGCACAACGTAGAACAGATAAAATATGCAGGATCTGTGTGTTAAACATGTGTGAATGAAACAAAACAGTTATGTTTTTGATGAGGAAACAACATTATAACATAGATCAGAAAATGTCATATAATGGGCCCTTTTAATGATTCTGATTTTAATAAAACTTTGCTGAAAGCTATAAAATAATCAGAATTGTATTTGAAAAAAGCTTGGTAGCTAATAGTGTTACAACATTATCTTTTCCAGTTACCGTTTGTGTGATCCATCTGAGAAACACCTCTATAAGTCAGCTCCTCTGTTTGGACAGCTGCACACTGTGAGGAAAACAGGAATTTTACAGGTCGGAGATGAAGTTTTCAAGATTGTTCGCTGAGAAAATAAAATATTGTCCAAAAATACCAGATAAGGTGCAGTACATTCCTCTGTTTTATCAGCACTCAGTATGCATCACAATAATCACTGGTGTCTACAGTATAAGTGCACTTAATGGTTATTTTTAGAGGAAATTAACAATTAAAAAGAAAAAAAAATGATTAACTGTTTACTAACACATTTTAAATCCACTGCCAAATCAGTATCAAAATCTAAGAGAAAAAATGTGAAAAGTCCATATATATTCTTGCACTAGCACACATTTTATTCTACAACTGCCATGCGTAACAAATAAATTTGTTAATATTTTATTCCATGTATTCTGCTTGTTTTTATTCAACATTGGGACTTAGGCTCTGAGAGGTGGGACATTTAGAGTAATCCATTCTCATAACTTGCATGCATGCCCTATAGTAGTGCAATTGTCTAAAAGGAAAAAAAAACTAAAACATTTAACATTGCTATAAAGGTGAATTATAAATTTTCAGGAGGAGGGTACGCCACCTGCTGGTCTCCTTGGAGACATTCTTGGTTTGTCTTTAATGTTTTACTGTATGGTTTTTAACAAAGCACTTTCCATGGCGTCAATCAAAGTATTCTTTAGCAATAAAAGTGTCTGTAACTGAATAAATTCAAGTTAGATAAGTTTAATGCCATACTGTGGAAAATTGCAGGCAATGCAGTGTCATCTCCTTGGAGATGGAATCATGGCCACTTAAATATAAAATATAAAAATATGCAGTGTGCTTCTACTAAAATCTAGTTTAATTGTGTATTATTGCCTGTAATCTTATCACAAAATCCTGACCATAATGCTACTCTTGTACAATAGTTAACCTCACACGTCCTTGTGACTCATGTAACTGTTTCTGTTGTCACTACTTCAAAGACCCGCAGGTAATGACAAACAGAGCAATGGGAATGTGTTCACTACAGGAACTAGGCATTTCAAAACATCTGTGTGGCTGCCTCACCTAAACAAGATATATACTTAAGAGGAAACCATTTCTTCTATTCAATCTGGGGTTTAAAAGGCCCAAAAAGCTGCAGCACAAAACCAGTGGGATCATTATGGTGACTAGGTCTATAATCCTGGGGGGCTTGCGGTCTAAAGCACTCCCAGCATCAAAGGACAGCATATGTACAGTAAAGCTAAACAGACTGCATTGAGCTAAATATTGCAACTACATACATGTATAAGCTTTAGTTACTTATAATTATGACACCTTTATATGCACCAAATTCTGTTTTAGTATATTTTATGATAATATAGGGTTATGGTGGTGGTAGAAATTACAGTAAGTGCACTGTTGCACTGTTAATAGCTAGTAGTGTAAGTAATAATGAAATCAAGAAGAATGCTTTGGTTTATTGTACGGCTAGAAAGGTTGTTATGAAAATTTAAAACAAAAATGAAAATAAATTATGTATTAATTAAACATTCCTGCAATTATGGTTATGGATACAGATATGACAGTTCACTTTCATTTGTCTCACCAGTTCAGCTGTACATGTACACCAAAATTGACTCTTGAGTGCTTTAAGTCATGTTAGAATGTACCTCCTCAAAAACATACCTGAAGTTGTGTTTAGTTTCATTCACACATGTTCGTGTAAACCTTTATTACTAGCCTGTCTACACTTTCCACGGTCATGAAGCAGTAGTTTCCAAATTAACAGCTACCTTTTACCTTGTGTTCAGTAGGGATCAGCAATTCCAGGGCTGAAATCATCCAAATGATTCAAGTGAAAATGCAAGGAGTTTAAAAAGACATTTGAGCACTTCATGTATTACCACCTGACATCACAAGGTGGAACACAGCATTTTCTGTTTGAGAGAAGAAGTCTCTGCTTAGACTGCTGCCGTGGATAAGCGGAAGATAATGGATGGATGGATGGAGAAGAACTCTAAATATGCAGGGTTATGTGTGAATGAAACAAATACAACTCCAGGTATGTTTGAGTTGAGGAAACAACATTATAATAGATACAAAAATTGCGTGATGTGGCCCTTTTAAGCAATTTTATTCTTTGGATTTGATTTTTTTTTTATTCTATTCAAAACTGTAATTACCCAACTTGTAGGCTGAGTTAAACCACACAGTGGCCCAGATATACAACATACTACAGAATGCAGCTAGTATTCTTGCCCAAATCTGTCAGCCAAATCAATTAGATAAACATAAAATAACACATTAAAGCACATTAAAGACTAGAACATGGGACGTGGTATGATGCAGGAACCCAGCAGTGACCACAATGGGCCTGTAAAGCACCACATGTCCCCTCTTTTTGCGCCAAGAGATAAATTTGGCGAAACCAGAACATTACTGGCTGGCTGCTATGTGCACAAATGGGTCCAGAGTCACACCAAACGGCTATAACTGGAGTGTCATGTTTGGCAATGACAAAATACAGCATTCCTCCAGAAAAAGCCAACTCCATCTGTTTTATCTGACCCCAATGACTCAGAGGATTGTGCTAGAAGAACAGAAAAAAATGTACTTATGTCACTGTACACCTCAGCAAATCTGAACTATATAAATTAAAAATGCTATTTGAAAGATTACTATTAAAAATGTATTGCTTGTGGTTTATTATAGTTAATATGTCTTCTACAAATAGCAAAATGACTTTGAGGTATTTTTAAGTTAAAAACAAGCTAATCTAATTTTAGTTTAGGCCACTACAAACATTTCCGTTAGTAAATTGATTCTTTTAATAGTTTATCTGTTCATGTTTTCAATATTTTTTCAAATATTAATATAGAAAGAGCACCATGTGAACTGAATTAGATTGAATTTACCACATTGCTCGCCTTATTTTGTGGAATATAGATCCTAATTGGAATTGAGAGAATTTAATTATAAAATGTGTTTTATTTGGAAGTTTGTTAGTTCATTTCTTGTAATGAGGAGATGCACATTGTATAAATCAGATTGTCCAAACTGCAGCCCCTAATTAATTATTATTATTTATTCATTAATTTTAACAGTAAATTTAAATTCCACCACAATAGCTTCAATAACATCACACGCATTGTGATAGAGACCTAAAATTAATTTTCCAAGCCTTATTAAAGGTGCAGTAACTAACTTTTTGGTTGGGGATCACCTGCTTGTGGATATGTCATTGGTCTGAATGGAATGCTCCACAGTATCACATTAAACAGCTCTACCTTACATTTATTCAATGATGGCTCAAAAATACAGAGAAAATTAGGCATTCTGAGTTAGAGTGGGGCTGTCTCTCCACAGATGTGACTTGTAACTTTGTCTGGTTTGGTTTCCATGAAGATAGGTCTAATACCATACTTTTTGAATACTGTTTATAATAAGATTTTATACCATGCACCCTCCAGCAGAAAAGTTGCAAACAATGCACCTTTAAAGGTATGGTGACTGTCAAAACACACCTGTCTGAATGAGTTTGGATGCCCAGGAGTTAAATGTACAGAATTGTGGGGGAAGTTCTAATGCCTCAAATGAATGGTTGTTGACCTGCTCTTAAACATTGTCTCTGTTATTATTGACCAGTGTCCAGTTTGAACCCTCCTCTTGTCCTATACAGACTCCAGACAGTCCAAACCTGTAATAAAGACCTAGGCAGAACAAAGATGTCACCGTTATATCAACCTCAACATCTGAAGGGTGCTGCACAAAAAACAAAAACATGTAAAATCTGTAATCTTATCACTCCAATTGTGAATTACATAATCTTGTTGACTCTTAAGTACTTAAATATTACACATATTTTCTGTTGTTTCAATGCTGTTTCCTCATCACAAACATACCTGGAGCTGTGTTTTGTGTAATTTACACTTGTTTAACACACAAAACCCTACATATTTAGGCACCTTGATGTCATGTGGTAATACAGGAAAAGCTCTACTGTGTTTTTAAACCCCATGCAACTTGACCTCAATCATTTGGATAATTTCAGCCCTGGAATTGCCAGTCACTACAGAACTAAAGGTAAAAGGTAGCTTTTGATTTGAAAACTACATCTTCTGCTACTGCTACTCTTTTTGAGGAGGTAACAATATTCTTAAAGCTCACAAGAGTCAAATTTGCATAATATAGGACCTTTAACTTTTCTCTCTTACTATCTTGGTCTTTGGACACGAAAAAGCACTTGTTGGTAAAATGTCTGTGGGCAGTTTACTTTGTACTTGTATAAAAACAATGCCACAATTCTCTGTTAAGAAATCCTTTGGTTTTTCATTTGTGTTCTTGGACAGCCTCTTGCTAACTTTAAAATGAGTCTTAAAGTTTTTTTTGTTGAGATAATTAATTAGTAGGGAACCACTTTGCTGACAGCTTTATCCATAACTAGTTTATGGGTCATGTTTTAGCATCAGTATGTCTTGTTCAACCTCAGTCTCATATGTAAGTCCTCAGTAGAAACCATGTAACCTGAATTCAACTGCTTGCATTGGGTTTTATAGCCGTCATTAGGCAACCACAGAGGCCCAAGTTATGATCACTGGAGTGGAGTGAAATTACAGAGAGCTTTGAGACACTTTGAAATGTTTATTTTTAAATGTTGGATGAGTATTTTTGACAAAATTGGAACCGTTTAAAATGGTTTTAATGGAGATTGATATATCTCTTAGACAAATAAATTAGTTTACAGCAATCTGAAAATAAACAAAGATAGTGGAGTTGTTTAATTAATGCTGTACCGTGGAACATTCTTTGCTATTTGGGCACGCTCAATGCTTTAAACTTTATACAGCTGCATCATTATACAACTGGAGCAGCTTAAAATGGCTTTAATGGAGATTTATATATCTCTGAGGCAAGTAAATGAGTTTACAATAATCTGAAAATAAACAAAGATAGTGGAGATGTTTAATTAAAACCATATTGTGGAAGAACATTCTTTGCTTTTTGTAACTCTCAGCATGTTCGATTTTATACAGCTGCATCATCACATGTTATCATGTTATACAACATATAATATAAAATATATATAAAACATTTTTACAATGTTTAAAAGTGCTATAATCCCATTGGTTGATTCATTGGCTTGGTTTTCGAAAAGGTGGTTTATAAAATACTTATCTGGTATTGAACTTGCTGACCACATGCAGGTAGGATATTTTGTATTTTTAAAGGTGCAGTATATGTAACTATAGATACAGCGGCCACTTTTCTGGTTGCTATGGGGATGTTACTGCATTGCCTCAAATGTGTCACAGTATGGAATTAAATTTATGTCCAGAAAGTTACAAGTCAGATCTGTATGGAGGCGATGCTGGCCACAGTAAGAATGCATGTTATTTGCAGTAAAACACTAAGTAAATTCA